GACCGCATACAAGAGCAGCAGCTATTAATCTAATAATTATTTTAATAAGTTCCTTGCTTTTTTATCTTTTAAAAATAATTAATTTTTTTTTTATGGTTTCAAGGTAAACATTCCATGCATTTTTCAACACAGTTGAATACAAATAAGAAACCGTTGATGTCTAATGTTGGTACGTTAACTTATCAAATTTGTTACACATATAAATATAATTTTTTGAACCACAAAAATATAATTTGTTTTTTGTTTGATTATATTACAGTATACCTAATTTAAAACTGTTATTTGCTATTAATTATTTAGCTAATTATAATTAATCTAGTTATATGTCAATAAAAATTGTTTGTCATATTTCAGAATTTCAAGCATTTGTTGTAAGTTCACTATCCAAACTTAAGTTTGAAATCAGTAATATGAGTTCTACTGTTCATGCCAATCATATATCCTCAGAAGCATTTTATAAACATTTTGGACATTCAACTTCTTTAAATTTATCAAATAACATTCAACAGTCTATGGATATAAGTGAAATGTTTCCCATAAATACAGACGATCAATTAAAAATATTTGATGAAAAGTTGAAGTCAAACAATGATTTTAAATTAAATGTGGTAAGATTATAAATTGGTATTTAATACCATAATTAATGATATGATAAACGATTATCTTGTTTTATTATTATTTTGTATGTAGATGGCCAAATTGTCTTTATTTGTTGGAATCAAAAGTGTTGGCGATAGTGTACGTCGCTTGATGTCCAGAATGTTTACTGACGAATTGCTTCAACATTATTCTTTACTGGGGTTTAAGAGGAAGAAAAGATTTTCTGATTACTTGGTCTACCGTCTCATTCTAGGTTAATATAAATATTACGAGTAATAAAAGTATAACATTTTTTTGATAATAATAATTTTTTAGATGTTATTAGAGTTCAACCAAAATTCAGCTCTACCCTTGATAAAGAAATTGATGTACCAATATCTACATGGCTCTCTCATGCAAAATTTCGCATAAAAGATAAAAATATTTAAAAATAAAGTAGTTAAAGTATAATTTATGTGTTCTATAACAATTTTTTTTTTTTTATATCTATAAATTAACAATCAGGTAAAAAGGTTTCCTACAACTAGCAAAATATGCATTTCTTTATATAATATTATAATATACCTATTTTTAAGGAAGTTTATTTGTTTTAATGGGTAATATGACTATATTATGTATAATAATTTAATATTTATATGCTATATATTAGGTATACATTTTTTTTTTAATTACATACGAGAAGTATAGATATATTTATATTAATTTTGTTCAAGCTAAATGCTGTTTTGTTTTTATGATTATAATATATTAAAATCTGATATAATATATTTCTTATTTGTGTATTAAAATCTCAGTAGCTAGTATAGTGCGATTAGTATTATATAAACTATACCTATAGCATGTTCTCTATTTTAAAGCCTTAATGTTTTCCATATAATATAATATGATGGAAAACCAAATGCACTATCTACATAATGTTACCACTATTATATTAATACTACCTACAGAATCATGTGTATTCAAACTAAATTTTCAAAATATGAAAATCATATATAATTAATTATTTAGTTTAATAAATGACATGATGGTTATAAATATATTAACATTAAATCAATATACCTATTTTTGCAGTGGGATGAATAATAATTGTACAAAACGATTATACAAATATTAATTTTCAATATACATTAATAATGTTTTTCGCCTATAAAAATTATCTTTCCTAATATTTATAGTATTTAATTGATTTTTAATAAATATAAAAAATTGTAAAAATTATTATAGTTATACGTTTTTAATTGTTTTATATTTTAAATCATATTTATAATAATTATTATTTATTACTGAGTATTATACATAGTTGTATATAGTATGGAAAAACTAACTATATACTATAAATTTACTATGATACATTTATTATAGTACTAAATTTATAATATTTCTATAATTTTCCAAAAGGTTATAATTGACTTAATAAAATCATTTTCTTAAATTTTAATCATATTTTGATAAACTTGGTATAATGTTAGAAATATATTATTCAAGTTTTTAAAAAGCTTAGTATAAAGTTCTGAAAATATGTAAGTTAGATAAATAATATTTTATTCAAGTTATAAAGTTGGCCAAAAAATGAAGAATAAACATTCATAGAAAGTGTGAATAATATTATTTTACAGAGTATGGTATTTTAACAGAATATTGATATTAAATATAAAACTTTATTATAACCTTATTACAATTTGAATTTGCTGTCTGGGTACTAAGTGTTCGAAAAGCTTGGCAATATGACTTAGAATAGAGATGGGTCGATAATTCGTGACGTTAGATTTGTCACCAGATTTGAACACAGGGGTGACTGAGCTGATTTTAAGCATTGATGGAAAAATTCCATCATCCATTGAACGCCTGAAGAGTAACCATAAAGGAAAACAAAGGACAGATCTGATGTTATACAAAAAGGTCCCAGATAGACCATCAGGGCCATTTCGGAGTGCACATTTTTTAGTGCAGCTAACCCGTTCTCGACATTATCGATACCAAAGATGCAGTCAGAAGGTAAAGTATGCTGCGCAAATGGAATAACAGGTAGGCTACTTGCTGAGGAAGGCACGTGGACTGAGTTAAAGTAAGATGAGAAAAGACTGGAGATGGATTCAGGACCAGTGGCACTTAGATCATTGAGGTGAACAGAGTTGAGAAGACCATTGCTAGATATACGCTTACGTACAAAGTCCCAGAATAGACGAGGATTAACTTTAAGCATGTTTTCAGTGTTATCCAGAAATGTTTTATAGCACTTTTTATAATAATACTTATACTGAGCGCGCAGGTTAGAGAACTTGTTATAGTCAACAAGGTTACGTGATGCTTTGTATTTAGCGTGCATTTATTTCTTGGCAAAAACAATGTTTTTAAGCTATTGCATAGCTTTCATCGCAGGCCTGGTGTGGTGACTGAAAAAAAATTTTTCGTAACGAAAAAGCGTGACCACTACCTGCGGAATCCCGTAATCCCCCTCTCTGCCTACCGCGCGGCGACCCGTATTGTAATACCGTGCTATCTGCGGTCAAAGGTCTATTGTCGGCGGCTATTGTTTGCAGATATATTTGCAAGGTATAATAATGTACCTATAATTATACAGTTCATATTACCTATATAATATACATTTATATCTGGATATGATAAAATTACACAGTGTATGAGACATGCTGCGTTATCTTTTTTTTTTTTTATTAATTTATTATTTTATTATTCACTTATCTACCAACAAAACAAACTCATTTTGTCAAATTTGTGCACACCAGGGTAATGCTGGAAGTGTTATTATAATATAATATAATATAAAAAAAAAAATGGAAAGTGAAGGAAGTGCATCTGGTGAAGAAATAGTGCAAGAAAATTAGTGAGTATTTTATAAAAATACATATATACCTACACATTATATATATTATACAGAGTGTCCCACAGAGATCTGATATTCTGACAAATGAAATAACTTTTGTTCTAATCAATTTTTTTAAAAAATTTCTTTTGAATATAATTCGTAGACACTTGCGCTACATTTTTAGAATACATTTTTTATTTTTTATTTTTTAATACTGAAAATAAAAACTTAAAAATTGATAAAATTTTTTTTCGAAATATTCAATATAGCTAATTTGTAAATCTGATTTTTAGAAAAATTTATATGGTAAAACACTTATTTAAGTAAAATGGCTGATTTTTTACAATTGTTTTAAATATCAATATTTGGAACATTTCTACTTTACGGGACACCCCTTTTTATGGACATTTTTTGCGGGAACTTAGTCATATTTTTGACGAAAAAAATGATGCTGAAATCAGAATTTGGCGCACGAACTTACTTTCAGAGTTATAGCTAATTGAAGTTTTCTGTTTATTCTATTTATACTATAATCCTTAAATACCCATTTTGCATTTAAAAGACTATCGTTGAATTGTGTGCAGACAAAAGCTCAAAGTGTCTTAGATTTTATTAGAAATAGAAATGGAGTTTCAATAATGACTTTCAATTGCCAAAGTCTTAACAGTCACAAATACGATTTACAAGATTACGTAACTAGACAAACAAATGTGTTACTTCCAAGCGAAACATGCATGTCAAATGATTACCTATCCGATTGACATACCTAATTTCAATTGCATCGTTCATTTCAAACGAGATACTGTTTCAAAGGGTGGGGTAACCATTTACCAAAATAATAATGATATTATCAATAATATGACTCCGAATATTGATATAAATGTGGCAAATGTTGTAGATTTAAATGTTAGACACTCAAATGTTGGAGATATTTGTGGGTGCTTATATGCAAACTGCAAAATGGCCTAGAAATAGTCATTGTAGTCATTTACATTACTCCAAATCCAAAATTGGACGAGGTAGAATATTTTATTCATCGCACTTTACTGGAGTACACTGTAGAAGGGTCAAAAATACTTGGTGGAAATTCCCATAAATTTCCACTTATCTTGGCTGGCGATTTCAACATTAACTTCGCTGATAAAAAATCAGAGCGACTAACAACGTTTCTCTTACGGAATCTACTACAAAATATGAGACCCCCATTGACGCCGTATTTTCCAGATATTTGGAGAATATTAAATCTCAAACTTATATTTCATATTTTAGTTATTATAAGCCTATAGTTTCTATGATACAAATTCCTAAATAACTAGAATAATAAAAAAATTTAAAATTATATCAACTTCTTATTTACCTATTTAATATGCAATAGCTTTATCGCGGCAGTCCCCGAGTGCCACTTGCCTTTTTTAGATTTTTAGAGAACCAGGATGGAAATTTAGAAGGTTTGAAAACAACTAAAGGTACAAAACTTGTAACACAGTAATGCAATGCATCGTACAATGCACACGTAGCAGAATCAATATCAGTTGGTGCTAAGGTTTCTAACCAGTTAAACGATGATAAGAAGGCACTAATACGAAAAATACGAGAAACAGGCTTTACGAAAATTATAATATTTATGACAACTATCAATAGAAGGTAAGTCATCAACAAAAGTAAGCATAAAAACTAAGGCTGGTTGGTAAGGATCACAAGGGACCACCCTAGTAACGGATTTCTCTATATTGATCCGAGAATCATTGGAAAAAACTAGATCAAGGAAATTGCCATGGGAGTTGGATATGTGATTTAGTTGGAAAAAATTATTATATGCGAAAACGTCAGGAACACAGTAGATAGCAGGGCCAGAGGAAGAATAAGTTAAGCCAAAATCGTCATTAGACCAGGATAGGTCAGGAAGGTTAAAATCACTAGAGAAAATAAATACGGAACCAGGATTAGCGTCGATAATATATTGAGCAGCAGACATAAAGGACTCATATACCGGGAAAGGGCTACTAGGAGGAATGTATACGGAGCAAACAATATAAGCAGTATTATTTACATAAAATTTAACGAATAAATATTCAACATTGTTAATGAGTGCAGGTAACAAGTTATGGACCACATCGTTACGAATGGCAACGAGAACTCCTCCTCCTGTACTAAAACTACTGGATTGACTACTTCTATCACACCTAAATACAACATAGTTGTGTAAACCTAATTCCGTGTCTTGGAAGCTATTAGTAAGCCACGTTTCAGTTAAACAAATGAAAATATAATTAAACACAGCAACATAACATTTAAAAAGACAAAGTTTGGTTCTTAGACCTCTACAGTTTTGATAGTAGCCCATGGGAAGCTTCACTCCTTGGCTGATAAGTTTTTCGGGGTGTTTTACAACACCAGATCTGGAAGTGGGTGGTGTGTACGCCACACTAAGAGGAGGACAGGTAGACGAACATGAAGATATCAGTTTTTTGGAGTGGCGTCTTGAATCATCTCATTAGCAAGACGACCCCAAAACGTTTGACCATTACACCATCGGGCAGGATCGAGGACAATATCCAGCTTATCCGCAGGCAGACGAATATGGAACGAAGAGTATGATGGATGCCTTTAAACCATTTTGCTGATGGTCACGTCTGAGTAACCATTGAACAATTCAGATTCTAGCAGGGCAGTTGTAACACTTGGATCAAGCCTCGAGACAAAAATATCAACATGCTTACCCACAGGCACTGATGACAGCTTGAAAGATGAGTTCTTTACAGAACCAACAATGAATTTTGATTTTAAAGACGAAGATTGACTGGCAGTCAATTGGTTTGCGGGTTGAGTAGAACGAATACCCGTAACCGAGTTCGGGTGTACATCAACTGGCAGTTTAAAGAGCTGAGCATTTGATTTGGGAGTTTGGGCATTAGGTGCCGCATTGAGGTGGTTGAGCTTATCATGTAGCTTAGTGTTACTTAGAGCCACGGATTTGAGCTCCACAATTGAGTTTCCATGCGAAGGCGATACAGGATCAGAAGAAGAATTTTTTAAAAACTTAGACAAGTCGTCACTTAGCTTCACACCAGCGGGCAGAGTCTGCGCCACTATATAGTCAACAAGCATGCTTTTAGTCCACTTGTTTAACTCGGAAGAAAGAAGATCATTGTTTTGTGTCATTATGTGTTTTCGACTACCTGGTGAAAACGTGTGGATAAACAAAGGACAAAATAAGGCGCCTTAGCAAAAATAAATAGGCCAAATAACTTGCACCCGGCGTAGACAACAAAGATAGGCGGCGATCTTGGCACGTGCCGGATTCGAATTACGAGATAGCCTCCACGGGTCGACGCTGCTTATCGATGTCGAAAAGAATTCAACCGTAATTAGGTGATAGTATAAACTTATAATAAATTATTACCTTTCAATGATGCGCACAAATTAATTAATAAATGACTGAAAGTAAAAAATTTAGAATAAATAGTAATCAGACTGACTCAAAAACGACACCAGTCGAAGCATGCACTTTCCCGGATTTAGTGAACTAAAAAACGCAAAAAATGGGTAACTAGTTTCGAAGGAAACTTAAAACGGGCACAGAGCGTTATTAATATTGATACATACACAATTGATATTTATATCATTCTTTATTGTTCTTCGACTTAGCCTATTACATGAATATTTGTTTTTACATGAAACAATTATTCAAGAATCATAATATTTATGTATTGTATATAATTTACCTATGTATATAAACTAAAAAATAACAGTGATATCAACAGCACAGCTACGAATGTAGTACCTATTTATATACATTAATATAACTATCACCCGTATTGGATAATACGTGGTAAACCTACTATACGCCTCACCCTCGTATTCTCTAGCTAATGACACTCTAAAATTAATTAGAATGGCACTGTTAACTTGGAGGTACGATGGTGTGCGTTTGTCAATCCTAAGTTCTTTCCAATCTAGTAAAATGACTCAAAGATTACATATACCTTGGCACTATTCAGTTTAATAAAACCTCATTGACACATAGTAAGTATATCCCGGCGCTGCTCCTATTAAAGGTAAGAACTTAAGAATGACTTAAATAATTGTAACTCGGGTTTTCAGGTCGGAAACACTTTTATTATATTTAAAAAACAAACACAAATAAAATACACTTGGCGAATTCAGATCGCCTAGCCCGTACTACGATCGACGTTTCACACGTACGACCACAGTACCTACGTCCTCGCCGATTCACTCAGCGACAACGGGACTCCCGTGCCTGCGCGTACGGCGGTTTTATATAGTAAAATCTTATTGCTGCCTCATCACATATTGCTTCACTGACCTATGTCAATAGTTTGCAATTTAAAATGTTCCCACCTCTATTACATATATATTAAATAATAATATCTTGACGACTGTCTACAATATACGACAATACCTATGTCATGTATTGTAATTATTATAGTATTATATTTATGGTATGATACTTTATAACATAGATAATGGTGAAACCTGGATGGTATGTAGTTAAGTTCAGAAATGAAAAGAATGTTATTGAAGTCATCCCAAGTAATTGGATTGTACATTTTGAAGAATGTAATTGGTCTTCAAAATTTGGATCCATTAAATTGCAAGAAGCAATCAAAAATAGATTGACGCCATCAGCTATTGGGTGGAAAACATATCCTATAAGAGTAATATGTAAACACATATTTGAATATTTTTTACTTATGATGATGCATCAAATTTCGCAAACACAACTCTAGCAATAAGTTCATCAGAAAAAAATACGTAAAAAATAAAATCAAATAATTAATTACAATAGCTCGAGTACTGATGAAGAACAGTCTGCTGAGAAATTACCAAATTTTCCATTGTTCACAGGTTTTTATTCTAGGTATGTAAAATATATCAATTTATTTCTAAAATGTATTCATGATTTACAGGAGCAATTTCTGAACAAAATTCAGCAGATGAATCAAATAACGAAATAAGACAGATTATTTTCAATAATATATCTATTGAACTTCAATGTGTTGATGATGAAAGTAATAACTTGATCAATAAGTATATATTTACATTTTTAAGATACAGATCCCGCTGTTAATGTTTTATTTAAATACCTATAGAATTTTCATTGGTTAAAAATATTATATTACTTAATTATTGAAAGTTTTAAAGAAGTATAAAGCAGAATTAGTATAGGTATATTAAACTTTATACTATATACGCGTGATTAGTGTCTACGTCATACTGGTTATCAAACCTTATCAGTGATAATTACTGGATCCAAACAATAGTTTATACTGATTAGGTGTACAAGACATTAAGTTTTTTTAAACACTCATAAGTAAATTTTGATGTTTAATACCATGGCTGGAAATCATTTGTTGTCAATAAGTTCTATATCTGAGTTTTTTAAAGACAGTATAAAGCAACTGAAAAGAGGTGAAGTTGCATATAAAGATAATCATGTTCTGAAGTTCCAAGCAGATATGAATTTACAGATTATTACAGGTGAGATTAAGCCTAGTATGAAAAATGGTTCATATTAAGTCCAACTTCATCTTAAAGACGGATGTCTATCAGATGCACAGTGTTCTTGTCCCCGTGGAATTGTCTGTCATCATATTGCCACATTAGCTTTACATACTCATTATAATATAAGTTCCACAGACACTGCTTGTTCATGGAGTTTTAGGAAAAGTAGTTCAACAGAGGATATTAAAACCATAAGTGATATTTACGGTAAGTTTGAGTGTCCTGATGTTAATGTGTCTGAAAAAGATTTTAGTTGCTTCCAACAAACATTAACAAATCTATCATTTCCAACTGGGTTTTCATGGCTATTTAAACCAGAACCTGATCCAGTGAAACTTCCAACTGTATTAATTGAAGCTATTCATAATATTCTATTAGATAAGCATTGTAAAGATTTAGTTAAAAGTAAGGATTTTTGTAAATTTAAAACATATTTCCTTACAAAATGTTCTATAACTGATGCTTTAGTTCTACAAATTTTAAATGATACAGTCGGCCAACATAAAAATAACTTATGGTTCACATACAGAAAAAAGAGACTTACAGCTAGCGAAGAAACAAAAGTAATGCGTCTGTGGTTTGATGAATAGGTCTTTTTATTTTTCACACCCACTAGTTACCGGCGAAAAGCGTGGTAATACAAATATACAACAAAACGAATATCGACGGTATCGAGGGTCGCGGTTTGTGTTGAAGAACGTTGAAAACGTTGACGGTCGAGTTATAGGTACCACGGTGGTGTGTATCGGACGGTTGTCGAACGAGAGGGCGAATTTCCGGCGGCCGGTACTCGTATTGCGCGGCTTGCCTTCCCGTCCCGCCTTGTGCCTTTGTGGCTTGTACTAGTGCCGGTGTGTCGTTACGGGGGTGGCTTGTACTACCTCTGGCTTCCGCTTGAGGTAGACTCGCCCGCGCCCGTAGGTGGTGTTTATTCGTGTTTTGGGGACCCTACCGGAGTGTAGTACGCGGGGTCGTACTCCATCTCCGGCATCCCCTCAAACGCCACCAACCAATCCGCCTCGGTTATTCCGTCCGGGGTCCCTGATTGGTTAGGTGGCGTTTGGTTGGTAGATGTTCCCGGCTCCTCGGACTTTCGGTCCTCGGGCGCCGGTTTGTCTACCTCCATCGCTACCGGCGGTGTGTGGTCGGTCTGTGGCACGCAGGCTGCTTCCGGGTCTGAGGTTGGCGCAGGCTGCTTGGCAAGCCGATGTCGTTGGCTTGCCTCGCTTTCCCTGGCCTTCCTCTTCTCCTTCAGCTGCTGGAACTTTCTGCGGTTCTGCGCCTGCTGCGCTTCCGTCCTCACCCTTACCGTCGGGGCGGGGTGTACCCCCGTTGACCTGGGTACCGACGTCGGCTCCGCAGGTGTCACGGGGGCGGGTGTTGCGGGGCCAGGTGTCGGGGGGCCAGGAGTGGTTGCTGGTGTTGGTGGCCGCGTCAGTGATGGGGTGCGGCTACTTGGTGCTGAAGGTGGTCGCTGTGGCCGCAACCTCCGCTGGATGTCCGCTGTGCGGTCCGCCCAGCCCCGGTTGTAGATGGCCGCCCGCATCGGGTCCTGCAGGAGTTGGCGGGTCGACATCCTCGCGACCTGGGCAGCTTTTCGCGGCTCATCCTGGTCACTGGACACCAGCCCCAGCCGCTGAATTAGGTCGGCCAGCTGCTGCCACTTCACCTGTTGTTGTTGGTCGGCCATGTTGTCTGTAAATGGTGGTTAGTACAGACAAATGTTTATTTACTTTGACCTGAGGGCGCGCGTTTTAGACACGACACATGTATTTTTCGCGGCGGTTTTTGGTCGGTTAGAAAGACTCCTTTATCGACCTGCTTCTCTTGCCTTACCGGACCCCACCACTTTGGTGCGAACCCGGCATGAAAATCTTTATGTGCCTTAGATAGTTAGATAGGTGGTGTGCTTTGTAGTAGACTACGTCGCCCTTGCCGAACTTCACCGGTATGTCGGTGTTCGTGCTCGGTTTTACCACTACCTTTTTGCCTATAATACGTTTTTCCCGCTCTACCCTCTCTTCCTGTGATTTTTCGATATTTACCAGTGCAATTTTAGATAGCGCCCAATCTCCGGGTCTCTTGCATTCCCTGCCTAGGACAAGGACCGCGGGTGGGTAGCATGTCTGTTCGTTGCACCTGTTCCGTATCGAAAAAAGAATTGTGGGTAGTTTTGTGTCCCAAGATTTATGTTTGCCGTCGACTAGTTGTGCGCGCAAACCTTTTTTTAAATCTTGATTACGGCGTTCGACAGGGTTGGCCCTCGGGTGGTAGACTGGAGTCATCCAACCCTGTGCCCCCCAGCGTTCTAATGCGTTTATCATTTCGTTTGACACAAACTGTGGGCCGTTATCACTAAGACACACGCGGGGGTAACCGAAACGCGAAAAGAACTCGCGCTCTAACGTTTCGATTATTGTTTTAGAGGTCGCTGTTCCTAAGGGGTAAGCCTGGGTCCACCTGCTAAAACAGTCTGTTGCTACCAGTATGTACGATTTTCCCTTACCGGAACGTGGGTATGGGCCCATTAAATCGACACTGATGACTTCCCATGGTTGCCGGGGGGTTCTTGGTTGCATTGGATCGGTGGAACGTGAGTTTAGTGGTTTCGTGCAAGCACATACGTGGCACGCACCAACATATAACCTAACGTCATTTTTTTTGCTCTTTCCAATAGTACCGTTGTCGAACCACCTGGTATGTCTCTTTCCAACCCGGGTGGTTGGATAGGACGTGATCGTGACACCTCCAAATTACGTTTTGTATTTTTGTTTTCGGTATCACGATGGGTGTGTGGGGGCCTACGTTTACGCGTAAGAGACCTTCGGAGAAAACTTATGTGTTTGTTCCCGATTTTGTGCTCCTAGTGTTTCGCGTTGGTCCGTCCCACTTATGACCGGCGACTATGTCGCGGATCGCGGCGTCTTCGGACTGCCACTTTTCGAGCGTCGACGCGGTGAGTGGTGTGTCGTCACTGACGTGGTTATCGAACATGGAAAAGATACGATCCGACCCGGGGTCAACATTGGTTGTCGGCGTTACAGGTGCCCCTACCAATTTTTCCTCGAGTCGATCTTCGTCTACAGGTGTGCCCGGTGCCGGGTCGCGGGATAACAAATCGGGTGCTTCGTTTTGTATTCCCGGGACGTGTACCGTACTAAAATCTAAATTAGCTAGTTGTAGTGACCAACGTGTTAATTTTGAATTTTTGTCTTTAGCCCTGTGTAACCATGTTAGTGCCGAGTTGTCTGTTAGGAGTTCGAAACGTCGGGTCTCTAGGTATGGTCGAAATTTGTCCGTTGCCCAAATTACTGCTAGGCACTCGCGTTCTACCGCGGCGTACCTCGTCTGTGTCTCGCTAAACTTTTTGCTTGCGTAAGATATGATGCGTCTTTCCTCCGGTCTGTCACCCCGTTGGAAGAGTACCGCGCCAGCTCCTGTCTCGCTTGCATCGGTTTGGAGACAAAACGTTTTGCTGTAATCGGGTGGGGACAATTTCGGCGATGTGACTAGCGCGTTTTTTATTGATTCGAACGCGCGTTGTTCTACATCTGTCCATTTCCACCGAACCCCCTGTTTTAATAAATTAGTGAGGGGTGCTATGGTATCCGCGTAATTATCTACGAACTGGTTGTACCAATTACACACGCCCAAAAATTTACATACGTCCCTAACTTTTTTGGGAACCGGAAAATTATCGATGCATACCAATTTTTCCGGTTGTTTTTGTATGCCCTCCGAGTCTACTATGTACCCTAAAAAATGAAATTTCGCGAAGACCGATTTTACATTTTTTTGTGTTGCACGTTAATCCGAATCTCTTGAGGCGCTCGAGAACTTTGTCTAGGTGGGCCTGGTGTTCGTACTCGTCCCTTGAGAATACTACAATATCATCTAGGTAAACTTGTACGAAATCATCCTGGTACCCCCTCATGACCTCGTTCATGAGTCTCACGAAAGTCATTGGACTATTTTTTAGACCGAAAGGGAGGACTCTGAACTGAAATAGACCTCTACGTGTCCGGAAAGCCGTGTATTTTCGCGCATTTTAGTGTAGTGGAACTTGCTAGTACCCCGACCTAAGGTCAAAAATGCTGAAAATTTTCGCGCCCCTCATTTGCCTAATCATTTTGTTGAGATCTGGCATAGGGTACGCGTCGGATTCCGTTACGTCGTTGAGCCGCCTGTAGTCGACACAGAGACGAAAAGTTCCGTCTTTTTTCTTTGCCAATACTACCGGTGCGGCCCACAGTGAGGTGCTAGGTTCTACGAGCCCCTGGAGTTCCATATCGCGCACCATATCATCGATAGCGGTTTGTTTTTGCTGTGGATATGGGTATGGTTTGAGCGCGATTGGGGACGGGTCTTTAAGAGAAATTTCGTGTTCAATTAGTTTGGTACGTCCTACTTTTTCGCTGAATACTACCGCTTATTTGTTTAGAATCTTGGTTAGTTTCGCGCGAGTTTCGGGGTCGTTTCCAAATTGTAATTGTGACAAGTCGGGACGAGTGGCGGGTGGTTGTGGTTTCCCTTTCCAGCATGTCGACGTACGAATTTGCCTACCCATGTGAATTGTGCATGCGGCGTAATCCCAAGAGACTTCATTGGTTACAAGAAAGTCGTGTCCTAGTAACGCGTCGCAATACAAATTGTCTAGGATGGTAGCTTCGAATTTTATATCGAGTGTACCTATCCTAGCTTCGAATGTGGAGTTGCCACTGGTTGTTGCAGTGTGACCGTCCGCCATCCGAACTGTGTTTGTTGGTCCGTGGGGAGGTGTTTTGCCATATTTACGGGCAACTGTCGGGTTTACGTACGATTTTTGTGCCTGCGAATCTAATAGAGCTGTTACGAAGACTGACGGAAATTCGAGCTCGACCGCGGGGGTCGGAATTTTGTCTGGGCGTGTTCGCGTATCATTATTAGTCGTAGTGCAATCGGTCGAGCGGGACAATTGGTTCTTAACCGCGACGGGAACTGTCTGGTCGTCGGTGTCAACCGCCATGACCATACTGTCAACGTCGGTTGCCTCGTTGCTCGCCTCTTGCTTTACGTGCGCAGACTGACCTAATGCGGGGATAAGCGTGGTGTGTGTGCTTGTATCCCCGTCACCTTGTAATGGGATTACACAATATCATATATTTTGCTCATAATAACAACCAGGAATGCGACCACACCCAAAAGTGTTTTCGACTACGAATACCACTTTCATAATCGTGAGGTCCATATCAAGGACGACTGTACACGCGCCGCTCACTTTCAAAGGACGTCGCCACCATATATATAGGGGACAGCGAGACAGCCTGAGTTAGATGTATCCAGAGATGAGAACACCACACGACTCGCTTAGCCGCCCAGCCATCACACACGACTTACACGGAGATTATCAACTTCGGAACGAGCTACAAATTCACTACAATCAACACTATTATTCTGCTTGTTTTGTCTGGTTTAATATAATACATTTGATTACCATTCTAATTGACTATTATTATTTATCAAGTACACCAGCTTTTGGATCCCTGAAGGGCCGCATGTAACACTGGCGCAGTCGGTAGGATTCCACAAGGGGCAACCCATCAAAGGCTACTGTCAACAACGAAGAATTGATCACGCTCAGCGAAGACAACTCCAGGAGGAACCAACAAAAAAAACAAATAAGTCACATTGCAGTACCAACAAATCCATTAGCAGCATCATCAACGGCAACATGTCATCATCAGCCATGAACGCAGCATTATGTGATGAATAGTTATTTAAATTGTACATAGACGTATGCAACATAATTAAGACATATTAAGATAATCTATGTAGTTGATTATAGTGTAATGGGTGTAAACCGTTTTAAATTTTAATTGATGGCATATTTTATTGATATTATTGAAGTTTATTGAATTATTGAGGGCCATATTGATTATTTGAAGTTTTATTATTGATGGCATATTTTTATTGAAGTTATTATTGATTATTATTGAAGTTTATTGATTTATTGAGGGCATTTTTATTATTGAAGTATTATTGAAGTTTATTGAATTTATTAGAGGGCATATTATTGAAGTTATTATTGTATTTATAGGGCATTATTGAATTTTATTGAGTATTATTATGATTATTAACGTATTAAATAGGTGGTTAAGTTAATTTATGGACAAAGAAGATACATCTCCCTTGAACGTAGCTAATTCATTGTATGACACTAGTGTAGTAGAAGAAGCCCAGTTAGAAGCCCAGTTATTAGCCCAGAGAGAAGCCCAAGCCCAGTTTGAAGCCCAGCAGAAAGCCCAGTTAAATATTATAGTAGATACCCAGTTAGGAGATAGCACAAGTAAAACCCCAAGTCCACAATTAGGAGTAGTCACACGTAGCAAAGTCACAGAAAGTTTTGAACATCAGTCGTTAGATTTTATATCTAAATCACGCAATAAAAAAAATGGCAGTAACCATAAAATTAGAAGACGCTTTTAAATTAATTCCAGTATGCACAGGGATAGACGATATTTACCAATTCATAAATGCATGTGATATGGCAGTAGGTTTAGTCGACGCAACTAGCGCACCAATATTAGTAAAATATATCACTACGCGATTAACGGGTAGAGCACTAGAAATGATTAAATATAAAAACGTAACAAAATGGCAATTTATAAAAGCATATTTAACAGACGCATTCGAAGTAACAACCAATGCATC